CTTTATTATGGTTGGAATATTGTCACATTTTTTGTGTTTTAATGTGACAAAACAATTAGGTTAATTACTCAAAATCTTTACGTTAATAAAAATATAAATTGTTGTAACTATTATTTATAGATGATTAAAAAAATAAAATAAAAAAATAAAATTGTTGTAATCAACATTCAAGAGTCATCTTCACCATGTAAAGTTAAAACATGAATTTTATAATATTATAATAATACTACAAAGAACAATGAAATATAAAAAATAATTTTGAGTTGGGATTTCATGAAACAAAAAACTTGTGAATTTATATTGATAAAAATGGAGAGATATCATAAAGTATCTTAAATTTTATAATTTAATAGTTGGAGGTTATAAATATGAAAACGTAAAAGTCATGAAAATAATGATATTATTAAGAATAGAAGTTTAATAGATTAAAGTTATGGAGGTGAAACTTAAAAATTAAATAAAGAAGAAAAAACAAAAATAAAGAAGATTAAGAAATAAATCTATATTATATAAATATATAAATTTCTTGAATTGAATAAATAATAAAAAGAAGTAAAATAAAGAACAAAAAAAGGAAAAGACTATAAAATAAATAGATAAAACCCATAAAATTTAACTTTCGTGAATAATTTGTTGGAATTCTTTTTAAATCAAATGAAAAGGTTTGTAATAATTGATGAGAAATTAATAAATATTATAGGAAAAGAGAATAATAACATTCATGACAAAATAAATTAAATATGGCTAATTAAGAAAATATAATTAAATATGATTATCTTTAATGTTATTTAAATTTGTAGGCGATTTTTTTTGTATTTTAAAATTAAAAAAAGGCCAAAATCCCACAAAAAGAGATAAATAGGATTGAAGCCCTTAGAGAGCGTCACCTCACCGTTTTCATATTCAACTTTATTATTATATATGGATTTAGATTTTTGCACAACCTTAAATTTAAGGACACATTTAGATATTATATCAAACATTCATTTATTTGAAGTTGAAATTACATTTTACATGAAAATTGGATATTCCATATTCACATTGAGTATGAATCTTTTTGTTTTTTTTACAAAATTCAAAATAAAAAAAATACAAAACATAAACTTATAGATCAAATTTTACATTTGACATTTGAAAGTTTTACTTTTCATTAAACGTTTTGTTATAGAATTTGGAATCGCCCTTTGAAATTAGTATTTATAAATGAAAATATTGATCTAGTCCTGTTGAAATTGTGTCTGGCCTAGTACTTTTTCTTATTAGAGTGATTATTGAATTAGGTTTAATATCAATTTTCTTAATTAGTTTTGTCAATTGGCAGTGCTAAGAAGATGGGAATTTACGTTATATTAAATTATCTTTACATTAATAAAAAAAGAAATTGTTGTTAGTATTATTTGTAATATAATTAAACAAAAATAACAATGGGAAGAAAATAATAAGTAAAGATTACACGTTGTATTAAAATAATAAGTATTAAAAATTATGATAAATTTTATAATAGTCATAACAGGAATTTACGCAATAATTACTATATTAGAATACTAGAAAAATTGATAAGTTCCTCGACATCTAATCATTGATTAAAATTTAAATTATTATTTTCTTCTGCGAAAGTTTAAGAGATTAAATTAATGTTTTAAAAAATAATATAACAAACTGATTAATTAATTATTTTCAATGATTAATAAGAAAATGTATATAGCAAGTACATGTATTATTATTACATTATTTATATCCACTCTATATTAAATCATTTTTCTATTATAGTTTGATGCAAATTTCAGAATGTAAAGAATGTTTTGGATTTGAAAAATAAATATTCAAAATATACTAACATGTCATTTAATCTTATGATATTTTTACATTTCATGTGAAAAAAAATTAAATATTAATTTTTAATATGAAAATATTAATTTATTAATACAACATAAATGTAATAAAGGACAATATATAAAAATATTTTGAAGTATTTGATATTTTATTAAATTAAAATAATTCTAAATTAATATATAGCTGCGCAACGCGCGGGTACGTATACTAGTGAAGAACAATAATAAAGAAGAAGACAATTGAGTTTAATATTTATTTTTTTCCAAGTTTATTTTAACACATGACCAATTTTTATTGGTCAGTGCTGTCTAAAAGCTGCACCCACGCGCTTAACATAGGTGAAATCACGGACTCAGCCACGTAGGCCGAAAAGTGGTAAACAATTAACTAAAATATAAGTTCAGGGGGGTAATAGGACCTTAGTAAAGGTTAGGTGTGTCTCAGGGATTTTGGGCATAGGCTGGGGGGTACTTATGCATTTTCCCTGTTATTTATAAAGTTTTAAATTTTTATATGAAAACATTGTTGTTTTGACATTTCTTTAATTACTTATTATCCTATTGTACGTAGTGGCTACTTTTAATTTGGACTATATATAGCTTAGTGCTCGCATGAACTTGAATAGTGAAAATTCCAAAATTGGCTATTATAATTAGTTGGTATTCAATGCTTTATTTCATATAAAAAAAAATGAATAAAACCATAGGTTATAACCCTAGGATATGAATGTGAAGTAAAAATATTTGAAAAGTTTACTCTTTTGTACTTTGGGATAAGGGTTTGAAAAATACGCCAACTTTGATCGAGTTTGCTGTTGCGATACTAAACTTTCATGAGGACCTATTACCTCCCTAGACTATTTAATACCGTATTTTTTACCCCCTGAACTATTTAATAGTGTATTTTAAAGGTATATATGTGTTCACATGGGCACATTACTATTTATAATTTTACATTATTTTTTATGTCCACGTGGGCAAATATATATGTTTAAAATACGGTATTAAATAGTCTAGGGAGGTAATAGGTACTCATGAAAGTTTAGTATCGCAACAACAAATTCGATCAAAGTTGGGGTATTTTTCAGACCCTTATCCCTTGTACTTTTGAGGTTCTTTTTTATTTTCTTGACTACATTGAGGTGCTATATAGTCCTAAAGTTTTTTTAATACTATTGATAATATGTAAGTACTTTTACTTCAAGTGGGATTGTATTTTGTTGAAGAGATAATTACATAAAGTATATATATCAATTTAAGAGATGGTAGATTTAAATCTCATCATCTCTTACTATCAAATAGATTTTTCAGGTACTTAATCGACAAACAATATTAGACCCATATGTGAGCAAGTGTATTGAAATACTGAAACAAAATTCCAAAATTGACTATTACAAGACTTGATTTCATCATGGGTCTAACCCTAGGATAAGTAGTAATAATTGTAAAGCTTAGATTCTTTTTATTTAGACTTTATAATACTTTTCTTATTAATTGTTATACTTTGTTTATTTATTTTTTTCTTTTACTTGAGTTTGATACACTTGAGCCGAGGATCTTTCGGAAATAATTTATCTACCTTCACGAGGTAGTGGTAAAATCTGCGTACACTCTACCTTCTCTAGACCTCACTTAGAGAAATTTCACTGGGTATGTTGTTGTTTTAGACACACACGTCCTATATGACATAATATACGTAGGATGTCATGTAAAATGTGAATTGTCACGTAGGACGCCATGTAATATGTGTGCGTCTACTTGTTCAATTTTTGAATAGTTTAAGTGTCTATGCACACCCTAAGTTGAAGGACATAAATTTCAGGCGAGGCCAAGTTAAATGGTGCATATATGCAGTATGTCAATCATTAATAGAGGTATATCAATTCGTTTCTCAAGTTTGAAAATCATTTTTAGAGTCATCCAAACATGTTTATCAATAGTTTGTTCGTAGAGTAAAATCATGCTTAAAATCACCTTTGCAAAATCAAGTTTAAACAATTTCAATTATAAGGAAATTATTCATGTACTTGCACATATGTTCATAATATAAACAAAATCAAATGTTAGGGGGATGAAATTACTGTGCTATAGATTGTTTGAATACAATTTTTTTGGGAATATTTCAGAAATATATAGTTACCTAACTATATTGTAAAAATATAATCCAAAACTTACCCTACAAGCTTTTACCCAAATACCATTTGATATACAATATTATACCCTCAATATACAACAATATACACAATTTGCATATTGTGTTTTTTACAAAATGTTTAAAAATTTGTTAAAAAATATTATACACCAATATATAATATTATACAAAATTATAAGAGGTATTTATACACTCATATACACTATTATATAAAAAATGAACTTCATCTTCTTCCTTGAATCCGAACATCCGTTCATCTAAAAATACTTCAAAAATTACACCACATCACTCAAAAATTCATATTTAGACTCTTTAATCTTTTGCAACAATAACCACTCGAAACAAAACTTATTTATGAAATCCAATTTTTAAATTTTGTAACTTTGAGCTTCAACAATGGTTGCCTATGAAATGTCAATAGTACTTCATGTAACTCCAATAAAAAATAAGCAATGGCCTAATATTTCTTCAAACGCATAGGTCATTACCAATCACTCAGTTATATTATCGTCACCGCCACCATTATAATATCCACCTTTATCAAGAAATCGCTCACGACTTAGTTATCACCGAACCTATAATAATAAAATCACATCTAAATATTTCAAAAATCAGTTAACAATGGAATGTGGGAGGAGAGAGGAGTGTGTGTTTAGGGTCGATAGGGAAGTGAAAGAAAACAAAGATATCAATAAGTTCGTGGCTAAATTTGATCATTTCGATAATGTATTTGAGTTAATTGTAGTTTTAAGTAAAGGTTATGTTATTTCTTTTTATATATATTTTTCGTAGGGGTTTATAATGAACGTGGTGTTCATGTTACCTTTTACGTACCTTAATTATTAATTTAACGGAATAGTTATCATATCCTATCAACAACCGACACCAAATAACTTTGTCCTGCAAGAGTCGGATAGATTGGTAAAATCAGCAAAACTAAAATCACCTAATAATTTTTATCTCCACCGAGTTTTAAACCCGAGACCTCACGGAATCTGACTTTGTTTCCATCATTTACATTAGGGACATTGGAATTAACAGCGCAAATAAACCTAACATTCAAACTCATAGATCAATGATCACAAATTTGTATCAAAATTCTTAACAAAATTGTGAATTGTGATATATATTTTAGCAGTTGCCACAATTTTGTAGAGTTCTTCGACTCATGTCGCTGCTGAATCAACTCTTCAATAGGGGACTTCAAGGTTCAAAGTGGTTAGTCAAAAACTTCATTCTTTTTTAGCTGAAACTATCAATCTACTTCATTTCTCAACTGTTCTGTCTTTCAATTATCGAATCCAAGAATTTATTTTGAATTTTTCTGTTCATATTTTAGAAAAAAAGGCCAGAGATCTGTTTATGGGGTTTTTTTTTTTTGCAATTTTCTAGAAGTTTAATCTGTAAAGCCCCAAATTTGGGTTTTGTGCAATTTAAGGGTATAGACAGCTTTTAAGATGCATGATTTGTGATTATATGATTTTGTGTTTGTTGAAACACAAATGATCTCCTTAGATTGGAGTAGTATTGTTTCAATATTTTGTTAACAACCAATTTTGCTAATTATTCTTGTGACTGTGTTAGAAAATGTAGAAAATTTCTAGTGTCAGAGAATACCTAATTAGTCTGTAAAGACGAATTATTGAGCATTGGAATGAAATTGGTCCAGGGGTTTGGGAGGGTAGAGTGGATACAAACCTTACCACTACCTCATGGAGGTAGAGAGTATTTCCGGAAGATCCTCGGCTCAAGTGTAGAAAATCTAAGTACAAAGAATAAGAAAATAGTGGAAAAAACGTAGTGGAAGTAGTGCAAATCCTACAATAATGGAATAAGAACAACCAAATAGTGTGATAATCGAAACACAATAAACAATAGATAATATTAGATATCAAAAGCAAGAACTACAATAATAGTCCAGATGAAGCAAGATGGTTAAACATTGGGCTAGTGGTCAATGAAGTGGGTTGAGAACTATGAGGCCTGGGGTTCAAATGACCCCAGCAGAGGACAAATAAACACTAGGTAATTTCTTCCCATTTGTCCTAGGCCTTGATGGACAGAGTTACCTGATACCTTGTACCTGTTGCTAGGGGAGGTGGAAGGTATCCCATGGAATTAGTTGAGGTGCGTGAAAACTAACAAGGACACCACGGTTATTAAAAAAATGGTTAATGAGGATTCATATGCCAAACTAATTGAAAAAAAGATGCTGAACCAAACTAGTTATTGAGGCTTAAGGTTTATTGTTGTTATATTCTTGTGACACTACCTGTGGATGTAACTGTTGATATTGGTGGATGACTTTGTAGCAAGACGTGCTTGACCTTGGCAATCTCACGAATCAAATTATTACAAAACAAGAGAGATGCACAGCTCAGACTTATGCGCAAGGAGATAGCCCAATTTCTGCAAACTGGCCAGGAAGCCATAGCTCGAATTAGGGTAGAAATTCTGAGATACTTCTACTTGTTGATCATTCATTAAGAATTTCTCTAACTAGTATTAACTTCATTCAGGTTGAGCATATTATACGCGAGCAAAATGTATGGGCTGCCTATGAGATTTTGGAGTTGTTCTGCGAGTTTGTTTATGCCCGGGTCCCTATCCTTGAAAGCCAAAAGTAAGCTCTTTCTTTCTGGACTTCTCTTTTTCGAAGCAATGAAATTTCTTTACTCATTAGGTCCGGGTTGTGATGGCATTATTTGGTGAATTGAAATCAAGAGATGATTTGTATTGGCAAACATAGTCTATGTTCTTATATTGTGAATTGAGATCAGCTTCAAAATGCTCTTTGCATTATGTTTGCCAGAGACTTTACTAAGTGCTTTGTATTCCCTCCCTGTGAACAATATTCCTAGTCTCAGCTTAAAATTAGCTTCAGATACCACTTAACGATAAGGAAAAAAAAAAGCTTCGGATATCCTTTTGAAGTTGATTATTCATCCCTCAGCTAAGTAAAATGTATCTGCGATTATGCATTTATTATCTTCTTCTCCTATTTCAATCTCAGGGTTTGGGTGCAGGGAGGGCGTCTTTGTTTCTCATGTGATTACCAATCAATTTAGGCTGTCGATGATATGCTTGTATCCCTCAAAGCGTTTATTATCCATTTTTTTCGCTTAATAGACGAAGACCCTATTCCAGTAGGTTGATTCAATTAATTCTAGAAAGAGTTTCTTGTAGATTCAATTAATGCTAGCAATACCTCCTTCCAAGTGTACTAGCAATACCTCCTTCCAAGTTGTATTCAAACTTTGTGTTGTAATACAACATATTAGAGTAGGAGGGTTTATATTATATTTGAAACCAAATAAACTATGTTTAAATTCCGTAACCTTAAGAGAGGTTTCTGTATTTAATTCTTTAAGGTAATTGTTTGGTTGAAGTCAAAGACATAACTACACACCCATAACTAGCCAAAAATGTTGAATGCCCTTTCAAATTTTCACCAATGACTTCTCCTGGGACATAGCATGGTAGAACCACTGGCTGTACAATCTTTCCTCTCCATTATTGCCTTCTCTTCTTCCTTGCAGCCACCCTTACTCTTATTCCACTTAATCTCAGCCTTGGCCACCAATATCATTTTCAAGCGCATTCATCTCTACAACAATAATGCCTTAATCCCGAATTAGATGAGATTGGCTATATATATTCTCAATATTTATAGTTGATGGATCAGACAGATCAACAGTGCTCAAGTTGGCCTTGGAAGCAAATATGGAAGAGCAGAATCCCTCACAAAGTCTCCTTTTTTGTCTGGTCAATGGCTAAGGAAGCCGTCCTTACACAGGACAATGTTATGAAGAGGGGGAGAACCCTGTGTTCTAGGTGCTTCCTATGTGGTGAAACATCTGAGACTGTTAACCATATATTTTTACATTGCAAGTACACCCATCATCTGTGGAGATTATTCCTAAGCCTCAAAGGCATCTCCTGGACAATGCCCAGGAAGGTGGCTGAGGCATTATTATGCTGGGAGGAAGCAGGTGTACATGCCAAGGATAGAGGTAGATGGAGAATTATCCCGGGGGCTATCTGGTGGGCTGTTTGGAAGGAAAGGAATTCAAGATGTTTAGAGAGCATAGAGAACAATGTGCAGAAAGATAAACTAAACTGCATTTTACTTTTAGTCTTTTGGTGTAATCAGTTATACTCTAATGACACTGTCTCTATTATTGATGTGTTAGACTCAATTTAGATGTAGAGAAGTGAAATCAGGAGTACTCTTGTATATAAGGTTACAGTACGACCCATGTCCTGTTTTGTGATATAATACAAAGTTACCAAGTTCAAAAAAAATAAAATATTCTCAATATTTATTCTGCTTTATGTGGGTTCATTTTTTTAATGCTCAATAATTTCTAAATTCGAACAAATTATGGTTTCTTTAGAACTAGAGATTCTTTTAATGTCATGCTATCCCTATTCTGACATGCAAAATCTAACCAAACTAAAACATCTACCCTATGCAAGTGTCCCGACAACAAACCTGACTATGCAGATACTTTGCTTCCTTAGTGTTTTGTTGTTCGTCAAGTTCACATATATTTCAAGAGGCTGTGGTCTATTGGTAATTTGAGATGACTTCCTCCATGTAATTTTCGATCTATCTTGTTTTATTTTCAGTGTCCTCAGTCATCATAGTGTAACTCTTATGGTCTATTGGTAATTTGAGATGACTTCCTCCATGTAATTTTCGATTTGTCTTGTTTTATTTTCAGTGTCCTCAGTCATCATAGTGTAACTCTTATGTACGGTGCATTTATAGAGGTCTGCATAGATCAAACCATCATTAATAACTGTGTTACATGCACCCTGGTCCAATATGATATTTGGTCAGTTAAAATTTATAACTTAACAGGTATGTGATCCTTGGCCAACTTGAACTTTTTATTGAGGTCTAGTGCCCTCGTTCCTTCATAAACGGCTTAAGTCTAAGTTGGCCACCAAAATAATTGCTATAACGTCATGTCATTTTGACCTGGTAGGTGAAGGATGTCAGGTGCCACTAGGGAAAGTACGTTATTAAGCAAGAGTAGCTACATCTTCTCTTCTAGTTAGTTGCGTGTTGCGACTCCCAACACACATGCAAGTGCACATGGTTATCCAAGTAGTACAGACTGGTTTAGTCTGGATATCGTACCCAAGAGACTTGTGATTTAGCAAGAATCTAGTCAAATCTGATACTGCAACTTTAAACAAGTGTTAAAGTAACCAAGAGAGAATTTTGGGGATTTTATTTATTTCTTTGAGTAAATTGAAAGACTAAAAAGCAAGCAAGGTTTGTGATCACTATAGGAGAGATATTCTAGGGTTACGACTCTTATTTACAATCATGTAAAGTACTGGAATTCATTGACTAGTTCATTTATCTAGTTGTTGATTTACGGGGTTAATGATATGATTATAGTCTTTCGAGCCCCTAATCGTCTGTCTAGGTTGACCTCACACCTACATTGTTGAGCGGAGATGTGGTAAACCATTCCGAACGCATTTATATGTCCTCCTGTTTTGTAACCAAGTAAGGTGATCTAGGTATATTCCTATCCTAGATCAATTCTTTATTTTACTAGAGTAAAGATCTTACTCTTATATTCTTTGTTCTATCTCATGATTCTTCTTCTGAGTTCACAAAGATAATATGATAGACGTTACTGCTGAAATAGAAAATAAGGGAACAAATACTGCTGTTTCACACTAGATTCACTGATATTACAACAACTGATATTACAACAAGAAGTCTGAAAACAAAACAATCACACTACTGACATAATAAATCACATTCTAAGACAATAATGAACTTTAGTTATATAATTGTAAAGATCACAACCTTTCTAGACATTCGAGAGGCTAGAAACTCTCCCAGAATTCCCTTTTCTTAATTTTCTGAATGCCTTTGTTTTAACTTCCCTGCCCCTATTTCTACAAAAAAAAACACCCAATACATGTGTAACTGACAGTTACTAAGTTTCTTAATTGCTTATTTTGGCCTCCTGGAATAAGTTTTTATAACTTGAGGCACATCATTACCCTTCCCTATAAGAATCACCTTGTCCTCAAGGTGAAAGTCTGGAAATTGTTGATCGATGATTGCATATTCCTCCCAAGTATTCTCAAATTCTGATAGGTTCTTCCACTTGATTAGCACTTCCAATTTACCATTGATTAGCTTCCTGGTCTGTCTCACTGCCTCAGGCTCAACTTGAAGCTCCAATTCTTGGGTAAGAAATGGAGGTAGGTTTTGAGCAGAAGTAGTTGGAAACAAGCATTTTCTCAACTGTGAAACATGAAACACTGAATGAATGCGTGCTCCAACTGGTAACTCCAACCGATAAGCTACGGGACCGATCTTTTCCAGAATCTTGTAAGGACCATAAAAGCGGGGACTGAGTTTTTCATTGATCTTCTTAGCCAAAGAACGTAGTTTGTAGGGTCGAAGTTTGAGATATACCAGTTCACCAATCTCAAAAGTCAGTTCTCTATGATGTCGATCAGCTTGATTCTTCATTCTTTGTTGTGCTTGTAACAAATGTTCTTTGAGTTCGGTTAAGATCAGATTTCTAATGCGCACTTGCTCATTTACTTCTTGCACTGCTGAAGTAGTGTCATCCATGTGAAAAATTGATGATGGATCCCTTCCGTATAATGCTTTAAAGGGTGTCATACCTGCAGATCTGTTAAAGGATGTATTAAACCAATACTCAGCCCAAGATAACCAGTGGGACCATTCCTTAGGATTTTCTCCTGCCATACAACGGAGATATGTCTCCAAACTTCTATTCACCACTCCCTGCCCCTATTTCTACAAAAAAAAACACCCAATACATGTGTAACTGACAGTTACTAAGTTTCTTAATTGCTTATTTTGGCCTCCTGGAATAAGTTTTTATAACTTGAGGCACATCATTACCCTTCCCTATAAGAATCACCTTGTCCTCAAGGTGAAAGTCTGGAAATTGTTGATCGATGATTGCATATTCCTCCCAAGTATTCTCAAATTCTGATAGGTTCTTCCACTTGATTAGCACTTCCAATTTACCATTGATTAGCTTCCTGGTCTGTCTCACTGCCTCAGGCTCAACTTGAAGCTCCAATTCTTGGGTAAGAAATGGAGGTAGGTTTTGAGCAGAAGTAGTTGGAAACAAGCATTTTCTCAACTGTGAAACATGAAACACTGAATGAATGCGTGCTCCAACTGGTAACTCCAACCGATAAGCTACGGGACCGATCTTTTCCAGAATCTTGTAAGGACCATAAAAGCGGGGACTGAGTTTTTCATTGATCTTCTTAGCCAAAGAACGTAGTTTGTAGGGCCGAAGTTTGAGATATACCATTTCACCAATCTGAAAAGTCAGTTCGCTACGATGTCGATCAGCTTGATTCTTCATTCTTTGTTGTGCTTGTAACAAATGTTCTTTGAGTTCGGTTAAGATCAGATTTCTAATGCGCACTTGCTCATTTACTTCTTGCACTGCTGAAGTAGTGTCATCCATGTGAAAAATTGATGATGGATCCCTTCCGTATAATGCTTTAAAGGGTGTCATACCTGCAGATCTGTTAAAGGATGTATTAAACCAATACTCAGCCCAAGATAACCAGTGGGACCATTCCTTAGGATTTTCTCCTGCCATACAACGGAG